GTGCGGGAGAGTCATTAGTATGCACGGTGTTGAGGATTCGCACGCACCAATAGTAGCGAGGGGCGGAACGAGGCGGGATCCTAAGGAGTGTGCAGGCGGGAGCAGGCAAGCGCATGCCCTAAACTAGGCATGCGCCGAGGACATGACCCCGACAGGCGGCGGGTACCAGACCACACAGGGAGCACCGGCAGGTGGGTCTGGGCGCGGCCGCGGCATGAGTATCATTTACGCGTCGAGGAGCCACGTCCACGGGCAGCGCAGGGTGTGAAGCTAGTAAGGGCAGCGGGTGAGGGCCTGGCGCGGAGCGGGTTTTGTCTGGCACGAAGGCGCCACGTGCACGAGCAGGGCGGGATTTTGACGAGCGTGCAGGCCGGCGACGGTGGCGGACGAGGACGTGAGTGTGAACACATACATACGCAGGGCCACGTACCTGAGTAGCGCGAGGCAGGACGACCATGGGGCAGGACGCTCACGTAGGCGGCGAGCGAGAGCGGCGGGGCGGGAGCCCAGCGTGGGCACTGGCGGCCTGTCCAGAATAGGCTCGTATTGACGGGCCACGTGGGCAAGCAGTGCGGGGTGGGATCCCAACGAGGGCGTCGACCTGGCAGCGACGCATGTCCGGGTGGCAGGTGGGCGCGGGCGCGGCAGGATGTATCAAGGCGGTGTAGCCCAGCGTGGGCACTGGCACTGGCGGCCTGTCCAGAATAGGCTCGCATTGACGGACCACGTGGGCGAGCAGTGCGGGGCGGGATCCCAACGAGGGCGTCGACCTGGCAGTGACGCATGTCCGGGTGGCATCGGTGGGCGCGGGCGCGGCGGGATGTAATGTATTTTGGTGATACATTCTGGTTCGACGCGCATTGTATTATGGAATACATTGGGCTCATACAACGCGGACGTATAATTACCGCAGCGATCACTTAGCGCGATCTATGTATTGCGTGTGCACGCCACGTACCAGTATATTATGTATGAATATGCCGGAGAGGGCTGGTCTAGGCCTTCCTCGTCGACACTCCGCAGGTCGAGTTCGCGCAGATCACGGAGAGACGCGATGGCATCGCCGAGTATATATCCATTGGGGTCGGCCAGATGTTCTTCGACAGACGTAACTGGCACGAGAGTCTGCAGGTTCCGCGCCCGTTCGAGGACGTCGGCAAGCGGGGTGTAGCCGTCGGGAGGCTCGTACAGGACATTCGAATCATGAATGGTGAGCTTCCGCAAACATTGTAGACGGTACCCATCTTCCTCATCGAGCATGAACTTGCGAAACCGAATGCTTGCGACCGGCGCTGTGAGCTGTAGGGAAGAAAGAAAGTGTCTTCTCGCAGCTGTGCCCACGACGCGGGAAGTCATCGCTAGCTTTGCGGCGTCACGTTGTGGAAGCCATGCAACGACGATCCCGAGGATGTCGTCGTTCAGGGATAGAATATTGGCACCCGGTGCCATCCTCGCAGATGTCACGCTGCGGTGAATGAATCAGGACGTCACCTCAGAGCGTTCTGAGTATTGGTGAAAACGTACCTGACGGTCCGCCCTATACCGTTACCCGCTAGTCCGTGGATGAAGACGTCGCGCCACACGTCTCAGCCACATCGCGTGTCGCGGCCGTCGTCTTCACAAACGCTCTATGTAGACCTCGCTCAGTACTCATTTTACGGCCTGGGCGACCTCATAATCGGAATCTACGCATCAAATCCAGCTCAGGCAAGGTCTTAGAAAGGCCATATCAACGACGGAACACGCTCAAGACCTCACGAGAGTACGGATGGGGAGTCGGCCGCAGGCAAGCCGCAACATGACCGGCGAACGGGTGCTGCACTCACCGTGTGCCAGGAGTGGAGCAAGCTACGGAGTGGCTGAATAATGGTATGTCTTCTATATGGGCCGGGTGGACATGACAGGGAGGAGTTCGAGATCACAGAGTTTGAAACTGTTGAGGTGGGTTCCTCGCGATGCACTGTATATGCAATGTTCCAGTTCGTCGATGATCAGTCAGTTCCGCTCCAGTCTCTCGTGAAAACTGGTGGCGGGGATGGAAATACTGTATACAACGTAGACTCGCGGTAGAGTACATTTGGGCGAAATATGAATGCCTACATTGCGGAATTGTACAAGACAGTCATGAACACCAGTACTGTATCAACTGCAATTGGACCTCCTACGGAGTGAGAGGCAACAATACATGATATTGCGAGCGGATCAACACGGTGGATTGTGATAAAACATATTGCAAACCAGTGTCCTGGAAGTACATACAAAAGGTCAGCACAGGAACATTGAACGAATGTATACCTCGTCCCACTCCGAAATCAGGTACTCACTAGTACTCACTCAGCACACTCTCCCTAGCCTCCTAATATGCAATCTGTGGCACCTGTTCACCAGTATTGCTGCTGGTGTGAGTTCATCTGACCCGTCCGGACTCTCGTGAGGTCTTGAGCGTGTTCCGTCGTTGATATGGCCTTTCTGAGACCTTGCCTGAGTTGGATTTGATGCTTAGATTCTGATTATGAGGTCGCCCAGGCCGTAAAATGAGTACTGAGCGAGGTCTACATAGAGCGTTTGTGAAGACGACGGCCGCGACACGCGATGTGGCTGAGATGTGTGGCGCGACGTCTTCATCCACGGACTAGCGGGTAACGGTAGCCCTAATCTCCAAGAGTTCGCGACAAAGACTCCAGAAACGCCAACGTGTGATATAGGTTCGTGTCGCTCCGGAAATGCTGGTGAAATGTCGTCAGTTGAAGTTCCAGTCTGTGCGACAACCTGAAACTATTCCCACTTACTCAAACTGTATACAATCAGACGCCAGGACGGCGACCAAACAGCAACAGAGAAACTAGCCGCAGAGCTCAAAGTTCACGGTGACCTGTGCGAGCAGTTCAACACGCTCCATTTTGAGGCGAGATGAAGGCACCAGCGCCCACGAACGGGTATCGCGGCGAAAAAGGTGCAGGATGCTCATGCGTTGCCTAGACGACTGCGAAAAACCGGCCGTAGAGCAGCTCACGAACTTCGATAGCTAGTAGTACCATCGTAATATTGAATGCGTTGCACGAACTGAGATATGAGGCATTCGTCGTGCCGCAGCCACATGTGGCGTTCGCTTACATAATACACGCAACCTTTGTCTTCAGCCGTTGTTAGCTGCCATCTATAGTGCGCCATCGCCACGACTCTAGAAGTACGCGACCATATAAATGGGCTCGTCCAATGCGGCTCCCTTGATCTTCACGAACTACATCCTGCTCACACCCTGATTCAAGACTTGCCCCGCATGGAGGCAGCTCCTACCACCAGCTTCCGCCGCATCTCGCCTCACATCGTCGAAGTGAACCCGCGTCGCATCAGCCAATACCACACAACTTGGGAGATGGTCCTCGCGATGTATGGCGCGATAGTCGGTGCGTAGATTGCATACATCACTGAAGAGCGATCACATCTCACACTCCGGCCGACGGTCAGCGCATCAGGGCTACTACGTCGCGGGTATCTTGCACAGGAACGTGTGTGAGGCAAACATCTGGATCTTCGAGAGGCAGACGGACGAAGGAAAGCAGCATGTCGCTGGGATGCTGCTCGATGTCGATCGCTGCGACAGCTACAGGCGATTCAGGCGGGCTGAGCGGCGACCTCAGAGCAGCAACGAGGAGGAGGAGGTCGACTAGGCCTCTCGCGTGGTACCGCTGGGATGAGAAGAGTGAAGTAAGTGACGGGCTCCTCTGTGTTGTATCAGTCGTGATTCATTGTTCCACATGCAGTGTGCTATCGCTGTTCAATATGCGTTGTTGTATCATAAAGTTGCCAGTCGTCGCGTAACGCTGGCGTCGAGCGTCATCCTTCTAGCAATATTCAGATTGTCATCGCGACGAACCGCGGGTGTACATATCAGTGTTGACAATACTTGTATACGTGCTTATGAGTCTTTTACACGTCGCGAACTTCATCTGTTGACGACCGATCCGGAGCCTGTCCTTGAGCCCAACAACCACGATGTAGATTTCCCGGAAGCGCGCCTCGTTCACCTGGCTACAGCATCACGAACAATATGCAGGCCCCCGCGCCCCCCGCCATTAGCAGATGGCGCCAGCGGGTTGTCTGAGATCGGCGCAAGGGGGAGGTCGACAAGGTGCGAGACTGCTTCAGCATCATCTACGTCGTCGCGCATCCCGATGCACGCTGAACGATCCTTGTAACGATTCAGTGCTCGCGGAGGAATTAGCCACTCATGGCATGCTGTATAGCACGCCGCCCGGCTCGGGGTGAGAATTTCTCGCTGCAGCCTATGCGGCATAACGAATCCTTCCCGCCGCAATCTGTGCGGCGATGACAGAAATACATTCTTGGAGAAGGACAGGTCTGCGAAGAAGGTCTAGAGGGCTCGCATGTCTTCTAAGATGTCGAATCGTGGTATCCACACGCTCCCCGGGTCGGAGCGCCTTACCGAACTCCCCCCGCATCTCCTCCCTACGTTACTGGAGGCGCAGATCGACAGTTCCTTCCCGCCTACGTTCATCCTGCGTGGCGGGGCGGACACTGTTGTTCTTCGCTCAAAGACGAAGGCGACGTCCGAACGCTTGCGTGCCTTGGGTATCACGGAGATGGAGGTATGTAGTACTCAAGAAACGACCAATCCAGCCGAGCATCCGCGATTGCCATACCATATTCGATACATCATCATCACCTCTTTGCTACTACATGAAGTCCCTGTACATCGCATCATTAGTCGGTACGCATTTGGACAACATATTGTAGCTGCTTACTTACTTCGGAAGGCGTAACGTCTTCGCGAAAGCGTCGCCGCGCAAGTACGCGTCGATCCTCAACCCCTCTTCCTCGCCGATCTCCACCAAGGCTCGTGCATTGTTTTCTTCGGCCCGGACGTCCGCTGACCCAGGACTTGCTTCCGCATTGCCTCTTGTAATGTTCCACCACCGCGACCGATTCGCAAAGGTTGTCTTGCAAGTACCCACATTCCACATGACCATGTAGCCCCAGGAGATGGAGACATACCGGAGGGATGGGATGGCCTTCGCGAGGATGTCCGGAGCTGTCGCACGCAGATCTTTCCATGAATCGTGCACTAGCCATTTGTCCGAGTTGGGCTCAAGGATGCCATGGTCCTCACCCAATAGGGTGTTCTGAAGATGTTGAATGAGCCTGAGGCGCACACAGAGGATGCCACAGTCAGCTAATAGTGGCAGACACTCTTCCTGCGGCACATACAGGAGACGTCAGACCACCAGCGCAACAATAGGAGTGGTGTGATGAAATGAAACGTACAAGCCACTGATACACAGAATCAATGTCATTGTGCAGTAGCACATCCAGGTAGCGCAGCCTAGACCGTGTGTGCTTGGCTAGCTCCGCGAGTCGTCTCCAAAGATGTATGTCACCATAATGGTGCTGAATCGAGAGTACGACGGGATGTGTCGCACGAATCGTGGTGACTATGGTCTCGCTCAAACGGGATTCCGTGGTATTGTCAACGAAGACATCGAGGACGTTTAGACGCGTAACAAGACCGAGGAGCAGGGCGTGCCCTGTGCTGAACATGTTGTCCGCGTCGTGCGGGTAGATTTCTTCGTTGTCTTCGTCGAGCACCGCTATGTACTCCAAGTGCAGACACTTCAGATTTCTGCAGAGAGCGACAAACGGCAAGGGATCCATGTTGGTGAGGCGCAGGACACGAGTGTTGGGTAATAGGTCAGTCTGAGCGGGGAGAGGCATGGGTCCATCACTATCTTCGAGCTGCGACATGAGTGAGCAGCCAGAAAGCTGTATTTCCGATGCGGTGTGCAGGATTGAAAGGGAAGGAAATGTTTTGCATCCAAGACGGATTAGCGTCGGTCTGCAAGTCATCCTTCCGCAGAGTTCCAAGCCACGCTCGCCAATGACAGGAATTTCGAGCTCGCTCAGGTCGCTGAGGGATGCGATTGCATTGCCGAGTAGATATCCATTGGGACTCGCCAAGATCTCCTCCATGTAGCTGAGGTAGAGTGTCCTCAGATTCGATGCCTTCTCGAGTACGCAGGCGATAAGAGCGAAGCCGCCATAAGGGTCAGATACAGGGCCAGGGGAATGATGAATTTGGAGGTTTCGTAGACATCGGAGACGAAATCCATCGTCCTCCTGGAGCATGAGCTCGTAGAAGAAGGAGCCTCCGATTGGCGCGCATACACGGAGGGTAGACAGCATACGGCGTCTGGCAACCGGGCTCACATCACGAGATGCCAAAGCCAACTGAGAAGTGTCTTTCCGCGAGAGCCATGAGACGATGAGGCTGAGGACATCGTCGTTGAGAGAGTTGATAGTGACAACCTGAGCCGCTGTCATCGTGTTTTGTTTGTTTCCTACAGTAGAGAAGGCATTGTCAGCGAGGCAACAAGGCCAGTCAGACGACGCGAGAAGATACCTGGTCAGATACTACTGAGTCAGTGCACCGACGACGAAGGCGAAGGGCCTTCAGCGTGTCCAAATGACCTGTGAGGTTCAGTCGAGCGTGTGAACAACATGAATGTCATGATCACACTCCACATTCACGCAGTAGGTGCGTGATTCAGGATACTCACTTGGTCGTCGCTGGCGGTAGACGCGATAGTCCGGGTCGAGGGGCGAGCGACGCGCGTTCGGATCGAGAACCAACGCGTCTGTTCGGCGTTCAAACGTTCAAGTTCCACCAAGCGCCCTGTAATGTGCAGTAGATTACAAAGTCGAAAACTGTTTCAATGATCTTCTCTACTACACGTGCTAGAGGCGAATGTCGCAGTAAGCAAGCATCCGAGATCGCCTTGAAGTGACACAGACAGTTCTGCATTGAATGTGCATGTCCCAGAGTCTCGAGATCTCCAGCGACCATCACGCAACGTCAGTTTTCATTATGAATGACCCGACTGCGGCAAGTGTCCGTAGCTGCTACGTACATGGATCCGGTCCTTGGAGTACCCTTGCAAGGAACCCCATGCCTTTCTCCTGGGCCTCGTCCGCCCCGGGTGCGAACTGCACGGGATTAACGCACGTCATCAGTCCATGAGGACCGTTGGGTACCACTTCGAGCGCGACGGTGACGCCTAGGTCCCGTAAGCAATCGTACGTCGTCTTCGATTCCACGAGCGGGACGACCGTGTCCAGTTCGCCGTGCAATAGGAAGGTAGGCGGAAACGACTCATCAAGTTGCGCTTGTAGTAACGCAGGTCGGAGATGCGCAGGGACTGCCGCGAGACGTTCTGGGGCCGCAAGCGTCCGTAGATATCCCGAGACGGGTTCTCCGAGGACGTGATCGAGCAGCTCGCCGGTGCGCCACCAATATGGGTACAACGACATTCGACCACCCTCGTCACCGAACGCCCCGCCGGGACGCGGAGACAATGGGCATTCGGATATGGGGCGCTGCGGCATCACCGTGAGGACCTTGGCTGCTGCCTCGTCGCGGAGACCGTGCACCGACAGCCTCATTCGAGCCGTCGAGTCCTTGACAGAGATCCAGTGATCACAGAGGAAATCGCCGCCACTTCAGGCCCCCCCTGTACTGGGGCTATTAGCCTTATCCTTTTGTCCATTAGGTTGGGGCTAATTGCCTCATTTGGGAAGGTATGTCCAGGTATATGGGACATGGTGCTGGGATGTACTATGGGCTTGGCCCATTTCTGCCCAATTCCCGTCCCAAGTTGCTGTGATGTCCCATTGTGGGCAGCCCGTTCTAGGGCATGCTGCCACAATGCCCAGTGGGCTTCCTGGTACTTCCCACCACTTTGTCACAGGTCACGGGGTGCCAGGGGGCATTTGGGACATCCTTTTCCCAGGATTGGCTGTAGCTAGCACCATTTTGTTTTCTTGGGAGGCTCTAGCTTTTAGTGAGCAGTCATGTTTGCTTGAACCTTTTCTTGTTGCTTTCTGGTGCACTTCCAGTAGATTTGACGGCTGCGGTAGACCAACATCATCATTCCATGCACCATGACACTGCCATGCTCAGAGTATGCTTTGGTGGCACTTCCACTCAATTTGCCTTGTATGGTTCATCCCAAGCCTGGTCATGCCCAATACGTTGGATGGTTGCAGATGAACCCTGTCTTACAGGCAGATGTATACCACAAGATCACAATGAGAGACTTGGCATGTGAAGCTAAAGGATTCCTCCAGGTCTACAGATGGACCTTTTTCAGATCACTGATTGCAGCCTTCACAGCTGAGCACTGATTGTTATGCAAGCCTGGACAATTGCTGATGGCCCTATCTTACATGCCTCAACTTATGATGTCTAATTTTGGTGAGCTACATCTTATCATTGTATGGTATGTATGGTATGTGATTCCTGTTATCATTAGCATACTCATGACATGATGAGCAATCACTATATGGATACACATGTTCTCTGTAATACAATCTTAAGTTGACTATGGGCTTGTCATGAATGCCCATGGATACCCCACAAGTCCTTAATCTACGTTTTATGGGCATCCCACAGCTAATTGATGGGGTAGTACCGCAGCAGAATGTACATCCCAAGGATGCTACCAAGGGATGTCCAATATAGCTTTGGACATCCCATGCCAGGGTTGTGAGGGTTGTCCTGTAGCTCTGTGGACATCCCAATGCTTGTACCAAGCTTGTCCCATGGTCCTATAGACAGCCCACATAACAGGCAAGGTTGCTTTGGACAACCCATTTCATATGTGGAGGTACTCCCGTGGGATATCCCATACAGCACTAGAGGTATTCCCATGGCTACATGGGCATCCCACACATCATATGAAGGTACTCCCGTAGTCATTTGGAAATCCCATGCATTATCCGCAGGTACTCCCAAGGCCATATGGACTTCCCATAAATCATATTGAGGTACTCCCCCTGTTATATGGACATCCCGTGGAGTGTACAGGTATTCCCATGGTTCATATGGGCATCCCATATATCATGTAGAGGTACTCCCATGGTGATTTCCCATGTAGCACCTGAGGTATTCCCTTTGGCAACATGGGCATCCCACATATCATGCGAAGGTACTCCCACGGTCATATGGACATCCCATACATTATGCAGAGGTACTCCCTCAGTGTTATCACAACCATATTGAGGTATTCCCTGTGTTTTTTGGACATCCCACACATCATAAACATGTATCCAATCCAATCCTATGTCCATCCAGCCCTTATGTAGTCCTATCACATAGCAATCCTATAGACCCCTCATGTATTCAATCCTATCCTGTATCACTCCTGTATCTCAGTCCTTATATACTCAATACAACCCTGTATCAATCCTATGTCTCAGCCCTTACGTATCAAACCTCATCCTATATGAATGATATATCTCAGCCCTTATGTATCAAATCTTGTCCTATATGAATCCTGTATCTCAGCCCTTATGTACCCAATCCTATCCTCTTATCCAATTCTATCCCCATCCAATATGGCAATTTGCCATCAGCCGTAAACGACAAGCCTATGGAAACTGAAGGTTACGTGTAATTGAAACTGTCCAGTATCTATTGGTAAGGAGGGAGCTTGCACATCGACGATCAGCCATAGAACGAAAAGCCTACGGAAATCGGAGGCAATTGAAACGGTCCAGTATCCGTCAAAGCAAGATAGGGAACACTCACGTCAACAATCGCCGGAGGGTGGGCCAAGCTCACGTTTGACACTAGTGGAGGCGATGGTCGCGCAACGCCGCAAGTTGCAAATGCGCGGATTCTCCGCCTGAGATGGCCTGGACGGCCCGTGATCTACGCTGGCGATGGTGTCCTTCCCATCCCGGCAGGCAAGCGGAGTTGCTGGAGGTGTAAGGTAGGAAACCAAATTTGGGATATGTGTCGTAGCGGTGTCGAGGACCTCGCCGTCGCTCCTGCTCTGAAGCAAGGGGCACTTCGGGGGCCCGTCCTGACGTTCAGGTCCTTTCGGTGGGAGCGAGGAAATGAGAGCGCGAAAACAATTGCGAGGGTGAGGGTGAGCGCAGCGGTGACGGAGCGGTAGAAAGGACGCAAGGGCAACAGCGAGGGGGAGTGAGGGTACAAGGGCGACAGCAAGGGAAACCGCCAGAGCGAGAGTGGGATGAGTGACTGGCGTATGAGAGACGCGGGCAGAATGGAGGTGGCGAGGAAGATGAGGGCGAGGAAGATGAGGGCGAGGAAGATGAGGGCGAGGAAGATGAGGGCTGGTGGATGAGGGGACTCACCGGGCTCGTCCTTCTTTTCTCTTCACAGCTCTCCTAGTCAATGCATACCGCGTGACTCCTCGCACAACCGTGACATTTCGTGGACACGAGACCATGTTGTGCACGGCTCATTCGCCAATGGGATCCCTGTGCTTGCGGAGGCATGAGTTGGGCGTGCACGCGTTGCAATTGGCAGTGTGGTCGAGCTTCAGTACCAGTTGTTTGTTCGTCAGCTGCCGGCGAGGATTTAAAGGGTTCTGGGCAACGTTCTGGGCGACGCGCAAGTGGAACTTTACGAAGTGCGTGAGCTCTCTCACTGCCTCGCGGTTCATTTGTGGACTCAGTCACGTTGGTGTCGAGTCTGGCGCGTGGGAGGAGGTGCAGCGCGGGCGGATTTGGAAGGAGCAAGGACACCGGCAAAAAGGGGCTCGCGGGAGATGTAGACGCGGGCTCAAGGGAGGCGCGCAACATGCTTGAGGATCGAGCACAACAGCAGCAGTTGTGTTCGGGGACAGCGGGCGCGTCGAGACAGGGCAGGGCAGTCGGGCGACCAGCGACTGGCTGGGGCATGGTGTAGGCGCAGGTGCATCGAACAAGGGCAGCTGCACACGATCAGAGAAGTAGGCATGGCGAGGAGTAGGCGCAGGGCTGCGAGGTAAGGAGAGGAGTGTGTCAGCAGACGGACATGCACGTAGTGCGCACCGAGGAGAGTGGGGGAAGGAAGCACCGAGGGCCCGGGGACAGGGACACTTACTGTGACTGTCGAACCGTCCTGCTTCACTTCTCTCCCTGGCCGGACTGCATCGGTAGGTCTCCAGCACGGTTCCTCGCAGTGTCCTCCGTTGTGATGGGCCCACTACTGCGGCTTGTGAGCAGCCTGGGCCTTGCGCTCGTGATGCACGCGTACGGGGGTGGCGAGACAACGCGAGCGGATGGGTTGTCGGGTTGAGCAGATGTATGGGTCCATTCTTCGCGTTGAACGCAGCCTGTGGCCTTTCGTCAGTTGAGGTGCAGATCGGTGGACGCGCATGGGCGCACTGACGAATTTGAAGAGAACTAACTGCATGGATCCATCAACTATAGGAACAATTAGATGAAGCTCTGAACTCACCGTATTACCGTGCACAGCGCAGAGGTGATGTATGGACTCATAACCCGAGTTGGTGAGTGCGCGGTCTTCTTGGGCTACTGGCACACACAGGTTGCATTCATCGTCTCCGTGGTCTCTCCTTCCCTGTCTCTGCATCCTGTCTTGCTCCGTGTATGTTCGGTTGGTCAGCGAGCGCAAGATCCCCGAGGCTCGAGCATGTGAGTGGGGCGGTCATTGCGTGTGCAAATGGCGCGCCAGCGTATGCGCTCAGCGAGCCTCAGACTTGGGTGCAAGTAAGATAGGAAGCAAGATAGAGGACAAGCGAGGTGGGCGGCGCAAGAGGTGGCATACACGCAACATGGTGGATGAGTAGCATCGCAGTCAAGGCGGTCGCCGTTGAGCATACAGTTAAGCGCTCGACGCCGCTCGTTGAGGCGACTTCGTCACAGCCGGGGCAGTATTTTCTAAGCAAAGCCAAGTACATAGGACGTATTCTATAGGTCCAACAATGAGTTGCCGGCATTTTCA